ATATATCACATGTGCTCTATGCAAAATATAACACAAGATTACTATATAAACAAATATAATTATGATTCATTCAATATTTAACACGTAACACATTGATAATATAATTAAAACGAAAACAACTGTAATAACACGTATTTCAAGATGAGATTAAGAAAACATTTAGCTTATATTAATTTGAAATCTGAGAAGGAAGCTATGTAGCCTAAGTGGAGCTAAAAGACTAAGACTGGAAGAACTGCAGCTAAAGGGCTGCATGTGAAGCATGGCGAAAAGGGTATTAAAAATCAAAAGTTTCAGCAATAGATATGGACAACGTGAGATATATTTAGTCTCAGGAGGATACGAAGATTGAGAAATATAAGGTAAAGAGGTGGACTAAAGAAGATGTGGGATTCGTCCCTTGTAGCCACCTGCCACAGGTAACGGTAGCCCAACCTAATCTTGACAATCACTAAGTCGCACTGTCTGGTGAACGTTTTTCCGAGTAAAACAAATCAACATTTTACACTGATGCTTTATGTATGGGTATAAAGTATATATGGAAGCTGATCAGAATTACATTTCACCTTCGTAAATGTACATTAATGACACTGTAAAAGACACATCGAACACTTTATGTAAGGCATACGTAAATCTGTGTATCTATGTATTTACGTATGTAGGTTAGCTTAGCATTTTAAAAGCACCGAATCACCTTCAGTGGTTGAGTGTTCAATAAACCCTTGAAATATGTGTTTAACACATCTCTAACCCTGTCCATGGAGGACAGAAGAAAATTTATATATGCTAGTTAGCATTGTAAAAGTGTGGCCACGTCTGTGGTAAAAAAACAAAAACAAAAAAAAACTGATGCTTTCAGGGTGTGATATCTTTCCTATCAGAACAGAATGTTTGGAGCACAATTGTCTTAATAGTAGAGATGGGGATACCTAGGTATGGTTCAGCTTCATCATTGTTGTATGCTAATTTGACTCCAATGTGTCTGTCATCATGATGAGTTGTTTATATGATGAAATCCATACAAAAGATATTCTAAACCCCTTTATTCTGTGTATCGAGCAAATATTGTGATATGTGATATTTATAATTGCTACTATGAAGTTTTTGCTGTCTTGCAGAAGTTTTTCAGTGCTTGAAGAGCAGACTTTGAACCACAGAAAATAACTCTTCCTCCAGTGTTTCATAGCGTACCAGTAGCTATTTGTAGTGCAGCTGGTTCAGTTATAAAACAATGTAGGCTTAGACTAAACATTTCTCTTAATTCAGGAAGCACGTGCTCCCTCAGGTTATTTAATCCATCACAATATAATTCCTTCGACAGCGGCAAATGTATTCCACAGATGCATTTTTTAAATAGTATTAATATGGTAATAGGCGAGCAAGGTGGTACTCGCCTATTTGTGCTTGCGGGGGTTGAGCTCCGGCTCTTTGGTCCCGCCTCTCAACTGTCAATCAACTGGTGTACAGGTTCCTGAGCCTACTGGGCTCTATCATATCTACACTTGAAACTGTGTATGGAGTCAGCCTCCACCACATCAGTGCCTAATGCTTTCCATTTGTCAACTACTCTGACACTAAAAAAATTCTTTCTAATATCTCTGTGGCTCATCTGGGCGCTCAGTTTCCACCTGTGTCCCCTAGTGCGTGTAATGAGGGCCATGTTCGAGTCATGTATGTGGTGGATGGTGTGGTGTGGACGTGAGAGGGGTGGGTGCCCCGGTGGTGTAATGAGGGCCATCTCAAGATTGATGATTGATGAAGATTAAGCCACCCAAAAGGTGGCACGGGCATGAATAGCCCGTAAGTGGTGGCCCTTTTAAGCCATTACCAGCATCAAGAGCTAATACTGGAGATCTGTGGAGGTGCGAATGCACCCTGCGTGACGGGAGATGTCTCCCTTGTGAATGTGTTAAGATGAAGATGAAGCCACCGAAAAGGTGGCACGGGCATGAATAGCCCGTAAGTGGTGGCCCTTTTGAGCCATCACCAGTATCAATAGATGATACTAGAGATCTGTGGAGGTGCGACTGCACCCTGCGTGACGGGAGATGTCTCCCGTGGCTGCTAACGATTGATTGATTGATAAAGATTAAGCCACCTAAAAGGTGGCACGCGCATGAATAGCCCGTAAGTGGCGGCCCTTTTGAGCCAATACCAGTATCAAGAGCTGATACTGGAGATCTATGGAGGTGCGACTGCACCCTGCGTGACGGGAGAGTCTCCCGTGGAATAGAACTGATTGATTGATGAAGATTAAGCCACCCAAAAGGTGGCACGGGCATGAATAGCCCGTAAGTGGTGGCCCTTTTGAGCCATTACCAGTATCAAGAGCTGATACTGGAGATCTGTGGAGGTGCGAATGCACCCTGCATGGCAGGAGATGTCTCCCTTGTGAATGTGTTATGAAGATGAAGCCACCCAAAAGGTGGCACGGGCATGAATAGCTCGTAAGTGGTGACCCTTTTGAGCCATTACTAGTATCAATAGATGATAAGCCCATCTCAAGGTATGTTGAGAATTATGTATAGTGTCCGCCTGTCCGTGGTGTGACAACGACCAGGTGAGGTGTGCCGCTGGTAAACGTGTGGTGTACCGCAGTAGCAGCAACGCCAAGTATACGTATCATGGTAACTTTTGACACATCTCGCTCGTCTTCGCCGCCGCCCCAACACCACCACATATTTAACAATCGATAAATTTTCACGAATGTCAATTTTGTAACTTTAAAGTTGGATTAATTTATATAAACTTAACCCAAGATAATGTCATAATAAAAATATGAAATATCTGACGGTGAACAATTTAGAGGACTAATATAAACTAATCATTCAATGAATTTATACACAATTTCACACCCTCAGCACTCTCACTTAACAGATTCTAGGGTAATACATGATTAAACTCACTCCCAATACACAGTTCATGCAACACAATGAGCCACAGGGACGTTAGAAAGAACTTTTTCAGTGTCAGAGTAGTTAACAAGTGGAATGCATTAGGCAGTGATGTGGTGGAGGCTGACTCCATACACAGTTTCAAATGTAGATATGATAGAACCCAGTAGGCTCGGGAATCTGTACATCAGTTGATTGACGGTTGAGAGGCGGGACCAAACAGCCAGAGCTCAACCCCCGCAAGCACAATGAGGTGAGTACAGATCTGACTTCAAAAGCACTTAAAATGGATGTCAGGAAGTCATCTCTGTGTCAGTAGTTCCATCAAAAAGCCAGATATCCAGGTGGGGGTCTCCCTGTTTTCTCTGCTGACAAGTTGTTTTATTCCATCCTGTATACCTGCAGCACCATTATACATTACTTATTCCTATGTTGTATTTCCTGACAATTAAGTTTACATTTCTGGAAAAGCTGGACCTGCATGACACCCTAGCTCCGTGTACACCATTTACCAGCCATGACAATCATACCCCATTACCTTACAGCATCCGTGTTCGATCCCCAACAATGCGTGGGCACTATTCCTTGACACCGTCCTCGTATCCCAGATCCTTGTCATTTCTTCCAAGTGTTAAATAGTCATACTGACCCGATACTTCATCCTCATAATTACCTAGCCATAAACACTGGAGAGCAGATGCTACGAGCCCACATTTATCTTTGTTCGGTCGGCCGAGCGGACAGCACACTGGACTTGTGATCCTGTGGTCCCGGGTTCGATCCCAGGCGCCGGCGAGAAACAATGGGCAGAGTTTCTTTCACCCTATGCCCCTGTTACCTAGCAGTAAAATAGGTACCTGGGTGTTAGTCAGCTGTCACGGGCTGCTTCCTGGGGGTGGAGGCCTGGTCGAGGACCGGGCCGCGGGGACACTAAAAAGCCCCGAAATCATCTCAAGATAACCTCAAGATTGCTACACTAACTCATCCTACATGACAAAAATAATAAAATAAAGCTGGTCACAGTAGGAGGGTGTCCCCAGCGCCAAACAGTAGGGACATATGCGCGTGTCCCACTGCCACAATCAATAGAAGCCGCCTGGTTAAAGGTGGAGAGCACAACCACCGTCCTCTCCACCCTCGCCCTCATACCACCACCTTTATTCCTTAATCCACCAGTTTCCTCAAGGAACTGAAAATTATATGCATCGAGTATTAATTGCATAATCGATGATTTGAAATAACTTGTACGACCGATTTAAACATTAACAAAACTAGAAAAACTAACAAGTGATATAGCCTTTAAATATAACTAGGTAAAAAAAACTAGGCTTTAATACCACTGCTTATAACACTCCAATTACATATTAATATAACTGATCATGACAAAAAGTTTGATCGCTGATTATAATTATATCACTAGAATCGAACCTTATATAACAATTTATAGTCAAACTAATAACTACAATAAAACACAAAACCGTAATCTAATGACTGGTTCAATCCCCCTGTATCTTAGCCAGTGATGCTTGTCATGACTAAGACACCCGTACACTCTTGTGCACAGCGCAGTTTCTCCATCTCACACACACACTATCTCAATATGTATTTGCTGCCAACTGATGGCTTGTGTGATCTCCGCCCACACAGCCCGCACTCTAAATAAGCTTTCTGTCTACCCTAGCTCTGTCTAAACAATATCTTCGTAGCACATTTGACATCATCATATGAACTCATTCCGAGGAGGCGACACCGAAACTTAGAGAGGGATGCCATAACCAAGGCAATGCTTCAGCCCACCGCTTCGGGTGACCTAGAGAGATCCCTACACGGACTTCACCCTGGAGATCAGCTGCCCACCCGTCCACGCCCTCTCACTTAATCGATTAAATAATGCAGAGACCTTGCACAGTTAACAACAATTGTATGCTGAAACATACATTCATATTTACCAGCCTCAAAGGGAATAGCTAGTCGTTGGCTCGAGATACCTCAATATGGTCAACAGGTTTCATGTCCCTGATAATAGGAATCTTACTCCTCTTTAAACAAGTTATCCCTTCCATTGTATTATCACTTTGCTAGCTCCCCCCCACCCCCTCCCTCCACCATAACTACGCGACATTCTGACACTCAACTATGCTCCAATAAAAATCATCTCCGTTCATCAGTTTGACACTTCTCCTTTCACGAGTGCCAAAGAACTGTAGCCCAGGTGTCTCCCTCGCTCCCCTTACCCGTGGGCGACCTTCAGCTACACGGAGTTGGTAGCCGCTATATATGGGAATGTCAAGATCACACGCCAGCTGCCCTCCACACACCCTGGGCCGCAACCTTCACCTCAGGCTCGTGTACCTGTCTAGTGTGAAAGTGAGAGCGGTTTAGCTCTGCTTATGCTCATGAAAACACCAAAGCTTGTCTAGATAGAAACGTGTTTTCAGAAGATAAAAAGAGGATTTTGTCTGTAGCTGATTTAGATAGTAACTCTAATCCTAGCAACACAGATATTCGACATTGAAACAACACACACATTTATCCACTGATTGTACTAAATACTTCATGTTAGGCACAGAATCAGGTCGCTAAGGTTCCAGTAAGTTCAACAAATTAAGGTACAACAATCAGACCCATGTTCACACGTGACCCGTCGGGTTCTGTATGTGGGGCCGTAAAAGCTAACGCCTAGGGATGAGGATTTATTAAACAGATTACAGTAATATAGACGTTGGATCGCTGGATTGTTTTAAGCATAGGTTAGACATATGTGGGTGAGTCAGGTTGGGTATCAACAGAAGCTGCATCACTTGAACCAATCGGCATTCTCCGATTTCATCTATTCTAAGGTTCGTAAGTAGTTGAAAAGAGTTGGCTACGACCTCAGCACGTATATTCCCGCAATGTTTACTGTAGCGTGTACATAATAACTCAGGGGATGCGAGTGAACCTGACCTTCACCTCAAGCTGTCTATGCAGGTTACACTCACCAGTCTGAAGAACAACGCCTCCATTTTTAACAGCGTCCAGCTGACAGCGTAACGATGACAACGAGCGCGCTTGCTCGCTCTCCACGTAAACAAATTATTCACTTTCTCCACTGCCCCCCCCCCTCCTTCCCTTCTGACACTTGCTTTCTAAATCCCGCCAACATCAGCACTCAACTATAATCTCAGAAGAAAGCGCCCTCGTTCTACCTCGTGGTTGTGGCTTAACAATTTCCGGCATGACCGTGTTTCGCAGCATTATCATGTAAACTAAAACTTTCTTATAAGTGATTCCCGGCACTAAGTGAAATGTAAATCGTCAACTTAACGCACGTAGACTAAGCCACTTTATTTATAATCATTTAAGATTTGAAAATGTTGAGATTAAATATAATTTTTTCTCACAACTTTCGCAATCTTTAATTTCCCCCCAAAAGTTCCCTTAGTTGACACAGCATGTAGAACATAAAGCTAACATTAATCCATGGCACTTAATTCATGAGATAATACAATAAACTACAAAACACAATTCACATGCCTCTAAATCAGGGGGTTTGCAGCATTACAGGACTTAAGGTACGGCTCCATTGCATAATTTTCAATTACAAAACTGTCAGGGAACTTCATTTACAAAGTTTGCTGATAATTTTCCGTGGCTAAGAAAGAAATAATAAATCTACACCGTTTCCAAGATTTCGAAAACACGTTAAAAAGCGTTTTAACACATTCTGGACCTTATTGGCATTATGCCATATATAAATGTATTAATAGCACTAACAGTATAAGACCCAGTGTTGTATAAGCGGGCAAGCCACGCCATCCAATAGTGTCAAGATGTCAACAACACTCACCTGAACACTTGATAGAAGCTGCCGCCAGCCAGGTAGACGAAGGGTATGAGCAGGGGTGCCACCGTCGTCAGGTCGATCAGATGGATCCTAGGAAACATGGCGACGGCGGCTTCCTCTTGGGGCTTACTCGAAGATTCTTGCTCCTTCCACCAGCTATAATGGTTGCCTCTACCCACCTGGTGATTTAATGCCTGTTTAGGCCTCTCCCATTAATCTAATCCCCTCTCCAATCTTTTATGGGTCTCAATGTTCCTGAAGTCTTCCAATTCTAAGATGTATCTTTAAGTCCTTAAATGATCGTTTTCTAGTCCTTAGTGCTCCTCCTGAGGCGACGTGGACGGCATCTCGTGCTTTAGCCTGTTTCCAAACACACACTGGTATAGGAGTGAAGCCGTTACATTATAATCGGGCACAGATGTTTTACACGTGAAATGAGTTTTTGTTGTAGAATGCTTCAAGAATGAGTTATTCAGTACAATATATTCAAACAGCAGTGGCGGTATAAAGATGCAGAACTTTGTGATGCGAGTTGGCTGGGGAGGACACCTCACACCTGGGTGGTGGCTAACATTAAAGCCGCCTTGATCAGCTGGTTGTGCCACTGGCAGTGTACGTGTAGGCTCATGGACCACACGGAAGACTTCTGGAGGCCTAGTCCACAAAAGGCACTCATGAACCCACCGTGGGTATATCCAAGTTGGTGGGGGCACTTGGGAGGACAGAGAGGCCTGGCGAAGTGCGTCCGCTGCAGGGAAGACTGCCAGAGGGACTAGAGGCACGCTACACACAGCTGTGTTGGTACTGGTATACAAGTATAATGGAGGCACGTAGGGAAACACTGGTGGGTCTACCAGAGAGTGTCCGTAAGAGGTAGACAGGGGGACAACTGGCCTTCAGCAGCACACACCCATCACACGATCACCAGCTCACACCAACGCCCATCTACACTCCTATCTTCACTTCACTCAATGCACCAAACGCTCACTTCATTAAACTATACCTAAAATAATAAATACATTAATCACCTCCGATTTTATACTCGAACCTGTTGCTCACAAAATAATCTTCACGAAATTCGCATTACATCCTCAGGTAGAAAAATGCAGATGAACGGAAATCATCCCCAGGTAAACAACTTGGCTAAAAGCCATTTAAAGGTAGCACAGAAGGCCATGAATGAGGTGTACATGTCACGCGCTAACACACACGTGGTGTATCTAAACCACGTACACGCATCGTCCTTGGCATTCCTACATGGCTGGAGCACGCGCCCTCACGTACAATATTTGTACAGAGCGTGACCAAGCGACAAGAGTTAAGACTGGTTGTCACTGCGGCAACGGTCGTCTCCGCTCTTAATCATCCCCGCCTCACCCCACAAAATCAATACGGCAAAACTAATCATTTACAATGGTGTTAAAAAGCTGCAAAATAGCCTAAGATTATATATTTTTACATTTTAGTAATTTCACTTTTCTTTCAAATATCCTGTATTAATATTAAAAAATTTAATTTATTTCAAGTCATACGTTTAAATCTTTCAATTATAATTTACGACAAAATTTAAGAAGAGCAATGCTGAATGAAAAACCGTTCACGGAAAACGTATTGGTTGCAAATCTCTCAAAATTCAATAAATGTGCTTCATTCATCCGCTGACACGAATGAATCCTGTAGAGAGGTGTTGGAGAGGGTTACACTGTATTCTCATCAAAAAGTCAGACACAAAACTGAAGTCATCAACATGTTGACATTATGAGTCACTTATTGCTTGAAGCTTGACATACGGGCTCGGGGGAGGGGTGAGCGCACCCCTGCCTCGCCAGTCCTCAACACTGTGGTGCACCGTACTACTGGGAAATGGGGAGGGAAGACAATCAGGCCAGTGCGCACCAGGGGCTACTCTCCAGTCACCATGTGCTCGACGGCTTGGTAAACATGACGGGGTGCGGGATTCACGTGCCCGTATGTCAATATTTTTGTTGACGTCATATTCTCACCCTCCTGCTTCTCACGTCACTTTGTAATCTTCACGGCGCAGCTAACACTTTTCCGTTAGTGTCAGCCTCCCAGATACACACGCAGAGTTACTGGTATGAGAGATAATATTATGTGAGGAGTAGTAGTAGGTGTACGGCACCAGGAGTGACGAGGGACGCCAGCAGAGTGCCTCGTTGGCGCGCCGCGCTGCAAGACTGACGGCCTCTAGGACCTGGCGGAGCGACCCTCCAGCCGTCCTGACCCGTCTCCTAGCAACCACTCCCACTCACCACAGCTGATGCACCCACCCACCCCAATATAATAGCCAAACAAAAACAATACCACAAACGAGCGTGACTTCATAACGTAAGTAATATAAAAGACATTAAAAAATACAATCATTAAGTCAGGTAGCAAATTATACTTCCATTTTTGTAAGGTTGGCAAGGTCTGCAGAACGGAAAGGCTTATACATGATACTATCGCTGCCCACCATTCTTGGACTATGACCGTCATACATCACTATTTTGCAGGGTGCACCGTCGCAATAGTTAAGGCAACTTTTAATTTGGAGATGTTTACAGTGCCTCGAGAACGGCGACAAAATTATGGGTACAGTATGTGGTTGGGAGCAGCACTTATTGACTAAATAACGTGTGATAAATGTACAAGCAAACACCCTTAATTACACCACACGACTAACCCCACAACAATCACAGAAGAATTAATTTAACGTATTCTTTTGCATTAACCACGAATTGTTGCATTAGAGAACAAAATTCAATTAATTAATATGTAACATTTTGTTATATATATTTAATTAATTTCCAGTTAATATAAATTTCCGTGAGCTTCCCCCCCCCCAGGTAGATATTGTATAACTTTCTATTGTAACACAATAGAACGTTCTAGTTGTATTTTAGCAATATCTTAACAATTTTAAACCATGGCAGAGGGACCACTAAACCTACGAGTGAACGTGGGATGTGACAGTTACAGCCCCGCTCCTGTGCCAGGTAAGTCCACTATGGGCTCACCATAGCCCGTGCTACTTGGAACTTCTTGTTCTAAGTATCTATATCTAAAACAACAACAACAGCGTGGTATGTAATCAGCCGAGATCTTATTCATCCTTTGCTAACTCGATAATAAAATATTTTGAAAAATGGTACCATAATGAAATTGCGTTAGCAGGTCAATGTTCTCGCTTTTCTCGAGTGCATCATGCTGTTGTGTACCCCCAGCCTCTGTTGTGTAACCCCCCAGCCTCTGTTGTGTACCCCCAGCCTCTGTTGTGTAACCCCCCAGCCTCTGTTGTGTTACTCCCCAGCCTCTGTTGTGTTACCCCCCAGCCTCTGTTGTGTAACCCCCCAGCCTCTGTTGTGTAACCCCCCAGCCTCTGTTGTGTAACCCCCCAGCCTCTGTTGTGTAACCCCCCAGCCTCTGTTGTGTTACCCCCCAGCCTCTGTTGTGTAACCCCCCAGCCTCTGTTGTGTAACCCCCCAGCCTCTGTTGTGTAACCCCCCAGCCTCTGTTGTGTAACCCCCCAGCCTCTGTTGTGTAACCCCCCAGCCTCTGTTGTGTAACCCCCCAGCCTCTGTTGTGTAACCCCCCAGCCTCTGTTGTGTAACCCCCCAGCCTCTGTTGTGTAACCCCCCAGCCTCTGTTGTGTAACCCCCCAGCCTCTGTTGTGTAACCCCCCAGCCTCTGTTGTGTAACCCCCCAGCCTCTGTTGTGTAACCCCCCAGCCTCTGTTGTGTAACCCCCCAGCCTCTGTTGTGTAACCCCCCAGCCTCTGTTGTGTAACCCCCCAGCCTCTGTTGTGTAACCCCCCAGCCTCTGTTGTGTAACCCCCCAGCCTCTGTTGTGTAACCCCCCAGCCTCTGTTGTGTTACCCCCCAGCCTCTGTTGTGTTACCCCCCAGCCTCTGTTGTGTAACCCCCCAGCCTCTGTTGTGTAACCCCCCAGCCTCTGTTGTGTAACCCCCCAGCCTCTGTTGTGTAACCCCCCAGCCTCTGTTGTGTAACCCCCCAGCCTCTGTTGTGTAACCCCCCAGCCTCTGTTGTGTAACCCCCCAGCCTCTGTTGTGTAACCCCCCAGCCTCTGTTGTGTAACCCCCCAGCCTCTGTTGTGTAACCCCCCAGCCTCTGTTGTGTAACCCCCCAGCCTCTGTTGTGTAACCCCCCAGCCTCTTGTTGTGTAACCCCCCAGCCTCTGTTGTGTAACCCCCCAGCCTCTGTTGTGTAACCCCCCAGCCTCTGTTGTGTAACCCCCCAGCCTCTGTTGTGTAACCCCCCAGCCTCTGTTGTGTAACCCCCCAGCCTCTGTTGTGTAACCCCCCAGCCTCTGTTGTGTAACCCCCCAGCCTCTGTTGTGTAACCCCCCAGCCTCTGTTGTGTAACCCCCCAGCCTCTGTTGTGTAACCCCCCACCCCCCAGCCTCTGTTGTGTAACCCCCCAGCCTCTGTTGTGTAACCCCCCAGCCTCTGTTGTGTAACCCCCCAGCCTCTGTTGTGTAACCCCCCAGCCTCTGTTGTGTAACCCCCCAGCCTCTGTTGTGTAACCCCCCAGCCTCTGTTGTGTAACCCCCCAGCCTCTGTTGTGTACCCCCCCCCACCCCCCAGCCTCTGTTGTGTAACCCCCCAGCCTCTGTTGTGTACCCCCCAGCCTCCCCCAGCCTCTGTTGTGTAACCCCCCAGCCTCTGTTGTGTAACCCCCCAGCCTCTGTTGTGTAACCCCCCAGCCTCTGTTGTGTAACCCCCCAGCCTCTGTTGTGTAACCCCCCAGCCTCTGTTGTGTAACCCCCCAGCCTCTGTTGTGTAACCCCCCAGCCTCTGTTGTGTAACCCCCCAGCCTCTGTTGTGTAACCCCCCAGCCTCTGTTGTGTAACCCCCCAGCCTCTGTTGTGTAACCCCCCAGCCTCTGTTGTGTAACCCCCCAGCCTCTGTTGTGTAACCCCCCAGCCTCTGTTGTGTAACCCCCCAGCCTCTGTTGTGTAACCCCCCAGCCTCTGTTGTGTAACCCCCCAGCCTCTGTTGTGTAACCCCCCAGCCTCTGTTGTGTAACCCCCCAGCCTCTGTTGTGTAACCCCCCAGCCACTGTTGTGTAACCCCCCAGCCTCTGTTGTGTAACCCCCCAGCCTCTGTTGTGTAACCCCCCAGCCTCTGTTGTGTAACCCCCCAGCCACTGTTGTGTAACCCCCCAGCCTCTGTTGTGTAACCCCCCAGCCTCTGTTGTGTAACCCCCCAGCCTCTGTTGTGTAACCCCCCCCCAGCCTCTGTTGTGTAACCCCCCCCCAGCCTCTGTTGTGTAACCCCCCCCCAGCCTCTGTTGTGTAACCCCCCCCCAGCCTCTTGTGTAACCCCCCCCCAGCCTCTGTTGTGTAACCCACCCCCAGCCTCTGTTGTGTAACCCCCCCCAGCCTCTGTTGTGTAACCCCCCCCCAGCCTCTGTTGTGTAACCCCCCCCCAGCCTCTGTTGTGTAACCCCCCCCCCAGCCTCTGTTGTGTAACCCCCCCAGCCTCTGTTGTGTAACCCCCCCAGCCTCTGTTGTGTAACCCCCCCCCCAGCCTCTGTTGTGTAACCCCCCAGCCTCTGTTGTGTAACCCCCCAGCCTCTGTTGTGTAACCCCCCAGCCTCTGTTGTGTACCCCCCAGCCTCTGTTGTGTAACCCCCCAGCCTCTGTTGTGTAACCCCCCAGCCTCTGTTGTGTAAACCCCCCAGCCTCTGTTGTGTAACCCCCCCCAGCCTCTGTTGTGTAACCCCCCAGCCTCTGTTGTGTAAACCCCCCCAGCCTCTGTTGTGTAACCCCCCCCCAGCCTCTGTGTAACCCCCCCCCCAGCCTCTGTTGTGTAACCCCCCCCCAAGCCTCTGTTGTGTAACACCCCCCCCAAGCCTCTGTTGTGTAACACCCCCCCCAAGCCTCTGTTGTGTAACACCCCCCCCCCAAGCCTCTGTTGTGTAACACCCCCCCCCAAGCCTCTGTTGTGTAACACCCCCCCCCAAGCCTCTGTTGTGTAACACCCCCCAGCCTCTGTTGTGTAACCCCCCCAGCCTCTGTTGTGTAACCCTCCCCCCAGCCTCTGTTGTGTAACCCCCCCAGCCTCTGTTGTGTAACCCCCCCCCCCAAGCCTCTGTTGTGTAACCCCCCCCAGCCTCTGTTGTGTAACCCCCCCCAGCCTCTGTTGTGTACCCCCAGCCTCTGTTGTGTACCCCCAGCCTCTGTTGTGTACCCCCCAGCCTCTGTTGTGTACCCCCCAGCCTCTGTTGTGTACCCCCCAGCCTCTGTTGTGTACCCCCAGCCTCCTGGTACCATCAGCCATGAGACCTCACCCACCTTCTCGTGGGTTAAGAGAAATCTGCTGGTAATGAATAATTCATGTTTTTCACCTGTTATTCTGGCAATTTATAAATCGAGCATTGCAAAGTACTAACGATGTTGTCGTCTTACAAATGCCTTCATTTATGTTCTTTTATTAATAAAATAAGTACAGTAATAGGTTTACTATTGGTAGTAAACACCGCAAATAGTCCCTATGTATATTTTGTATAATTATTATTATTATTATGTGGTGAACTAGGTAGCGACAATTTTTTGTCAATTACATGCACTACTTTAAGTAAAGAAACTTAGGATACTTGGCCAAGATATTGGTAATGCTGATTATATTTAATTTATAATTAAATTTTTATAAATTTCTTTTAAATATGTCTTAAATATAAGCATTTGTAATATTATCATCTCGAAATTCTTAACTTGGTTTAAAATCCATTAAATAGGGAAGGAGGACTGACATACGCGAGTAGTTTTCCTAACAGCTCATATTTTTTATAATCTACATCCTCAGAGGTGTAAACTGCCAGAAATTCCCTAAGCCGAATAGCAGGGTATTTCTGGGAGGAGTTCGGTGATCTATTTTGGAGTTTGCTTTTTGTACTGGATGACCAATAGATATGCGGCTCTTCTTGCATAGTAGTGCAATGATTGCTAGAATAGCTAGAACCTGAGGTAGATTCCACTTTTGCCTTACATCTGTGGAATTATGTGGACAACTGGTATTTATATGATAATTAACTGTCAGAGAGTAGGAAGACAATGGGAAAGAATTAATAGATCAATAAATAAATTCTGGCCAAGGGTCAAGGAGCAACATGATAGGAGCGTGGCGCATGTAAGATGTTAAAATATAGTAGTGAAGGAGAAAACAGCATCTGCACTAACAAGTGTCTGAGCAAAGAAAAACTTCACGAGCCACGACTCTCATAACTGTATACAGTGATTT